CTTCTGCCGTACCGGTTGAGATGAGACAGAGAACGCAGTAAGAGTCCGGTAGGAATGACACTCTGCTGAAGCTTTAGCTACGAAGGTGGAGGACGGGCTGGAGGTGGGTTGAATTGGTGTCATCTAAATGAAGCCTGCGCACAGGAGCAGACAGTGCTGATCGGAGGCCTTTTAAGATGAACTTTGGATGCCGATTGGCTTTCGTGGAGGTTTGGTTCAAAGCTGATTGGCTGTTTCAAAGGTGGATATAGGAGAGCAATGAGTTTCTTCAGTTTAACTTCCGCCTAGGCTCCATAATAAAAAAAGGTTTGAATACAAACTTAAACAACCAAAAATTATAAAGGACAGTCAAAGGTGACTTACATTTTATCTTGATTTAAGGCAACTTAAGGTTTCAGCACTTTTACAGTTTTCAGGAAGCTTATTCCAGCTTAGAGGAGCATAAGAACTAAAAGATGCTTTTCCATGTTTGTTCTGGGTCTGGGTGTGCAGAGTGGGCTTCAGAAAAAGACCTGAGAGGTCTGGGCTGCTGAACCACTGAAAACAAGTCTGCAATGTACTTTGCTCAGACATTCTGTGATTTTTAGATTTACAGGTATTTTAAAGTCTATTCTCTGATGCGGGAAGTCAGCGTATGGATTTCAGAACTGTGTAATGTGCTTAACTATCTTAGTTTTTGGTGACAATGTGGGTAGCAGCATTTTGGATCAACTGCATCAGCTTGATCTACTATTTAGGAAGACCTGTGGAGACACCTTTGCAATCAGTCCTACAAAAGATTAGTTGAATTATTTTTTGTTTTTTTTTTAAGATCCTGATAAGACATCAGTCCTTTAACCCTGGAGATGTTAAGGTGATAGAGTAGAAGGCCAAGCTTGTTACAGTGTTTATGTGCCTCAGAAGGTTCAGGTCTGAGTCCATCACTACACCCAGACTGCTGATTTTGTTGCTCTATTACTGAAGCTGTGTGTTAACTTTAAAATGCTCTTCTTTTGGTTCAACATAATTTCTTCAGTTTTGTTTTGATTCAACTGAATTAAGTTTGGTAGTCTTATGTAATTGTGTGTTGCCTTCTTAGCTAAGGTGACTTATGTTGTTGTTTATAATGTTATGAGTTAGAAGGAACATGTACCGTAGATAGTAAATAGGATGGATCCTAAGATGGACCCTGGGGGAGCGCCGCATGATTTTTGTGTTCTCTGACGTTAATTTACCTACTGAAACTAAAAAAAAATCCCTTCAAGTAGGATTTAAACCAGACCAGTACAGAAAGTTGAGCCAGTTTTTTAATAATAAAATAAAGTGATCAACAGTGTTTAATACCAGCACTCCAAAGTTTGCATTTATATGGATGTCATTTGACAAGTGTGGTCTCTGCACTGTGGTGAGCATGAAAGCCAGAGTGGAAGCAGTTGGTGAAGGTTTATTATAATGAAGGTTTTAAACGTCTGAAACATTTTTTTGTTATATCTTACTGATGAAGGGGAGGTTTGAGATGGGCCTGTAGTTCTGCAGAAGTAGCTTGTCCATGTTGCTCTTTTTTCATAAGCGGTTTGTTTTTAAGGCATGTGAGAAAACACCTGACCAAACATACATGTTTGAGTCAAATAAATACGTAATATAAATAAGCTGCTTGATTGGTTTTAATCATAACAGAGATGCTTTCCTCTAAAGTGTTGTTCAGATGGCTAAAGGCAGGTTTTGTAATGGGAACTTATGGGAGCCTTCACAACACGGAAGAATATTTTTTATTTGTCTAAAACTTATTTCTTGCTAAATAATATTATTTAGATAGCAGAAATATTAATATTAATTTCTATTTCTTTTCTATTTTTCTTATTTTTGAGATTAACAAATAGATTCTCTTTCAGGATTTTTAGGCTCCTTATTAAAAGGAATCCATTGGTTAAGTGGCTCATAACCATGGTACAGGGGGTAGCACTGTTGCAGCAAGAAGATCCTGTGTTTGATTCCCAGCCCAGGGTCTTTCTGCATGGAGTTTGCATGTTCTACCCGTGTATGCCTGGGTTCTCTCCGGGAACTCCTCTCAAAGTACGAAAAAATGACTTTTAGGTTAATTGGCATGTCTTAATTGTCCTTAGGTGTGAGAGTGTGTGTGCATGGTTGTGTGTCTCTGTGTTGCCCTGCGACAGACTTGCAACCTGTCCAGTATGCACCCCTCCTTTCGGCCGTAGACTGCTGGAGATGGGCACCGACCCCACCAGGACCCTGATGGAATAAGCGGGAGAAGATGGATGGATCCTCTTTTGTATCCACATTGCACAGTAATTAGATTTCCATTTGGATTTTGGTTTCACATTTTAATGGCATCTCATCTGACAAAAGTACTGTGTAGTAGTAGTGTAGATTTTTAATATTTTTCAATTTTTCCTCTGCAAACTGTTATGTTTTTTGTCTTGCCAGCAAAAAATACACTTGCTTAAGATGTTTATACATAACCAATTGATATGATAGGCAAAATCAAATTTAAAAGTTGGTTTAGTTACAAATATTAAACAATATATTTTTTTGATTGGACAGACCAAAAAAGTTTGACAGTGATGTTCTGTCCGCTAACTATCTGGGATCATAATTTCCTCATATCAATTAAGAACCCAAATTAAATCCTCTTGAACTTTGAAATCCATCATCATTATAATAATAACAATCAAAAGTCTTGCCTTGTTTAGTCCTAGTTTTTGTCTGGGTACAAGAAGCCATCTTGGGAGGTGGAAGAGCTCAGATGGTGTGATAGGATG